CCCTTTCTGCCCTTTGGCCCCTCGTTTCCCCAAACTCCGGCTGTATCCTTTACCACTCTTCGACGTGTTCCACTCAGGCCACCTGACTGTACAGAGGAGGAAACCCGGGTCTCAGAAAATTTAGGTGCAAGGATCCAGCGCCTACACCCCGCCCTCCGACTCTTCCAGTATTCTTACCGCTCCAATCTACCTCCTTTAAAAATAATGATAGTTAACATTTATTGACCACTAACTGCGTGATACACACTGTATTAAGCGCTTCGGTGCTTAACTCAGTTAACCGTCCTCAAATCCCTTGAGGTTGGTGCTATTATCTATGTCTTGCTGAGGAGGAAACCGGTCAAAGATACCAAACCCAACACCACAAACTTCGGTTCTTGATTTTATTTTCACTCATGTTGTGTGTATAAATTTCACCTAACTCTAACACGATTTTTAAGTTCTTCAAGGGCAGGAACCAAATTACATTCCTATATTCCATCATCACTTGAGGCCAAGAGCTGGGAGACTCTGGAATCTTACTTCCTGGATACTGTTATTTAATACTTTTACTTTTTCAGCGTGGGCAAGTTGCTTGACCTCTCCAAGCCTGTTTCCTCATTTGTAATATATTTGATATATTTGATGTGTGTTTGTGTGTATGCACATATATAATCATCTCTGGATTGTTACGGGAATTCAAAATAAAAATGCTTGATAAACAGTGGTGTACCTAGTACCAATGTACGACTGAGTAAAAATCAACAATTCTCATGCCTCATCATTAACAGGAACAGTTTTTCCTCCAGTGGAGTCACTCTAGCAGGGGGTAATTTGAAAAAATATGGGTTAGCAATAGACAATAGAAAAGGTTAGTTAAGGAAATAAAGAGTAGAGGTTTTTGCAATGGGAAAAATGAAGGTAGGTGAGACAAAGAATGTCCTGGGGCCAGGCTGGATACTTGTGACGCTGTGAGCTGAGACAGTTTGAGGACCCAGAGTCAGATGCCAGGCAGGGAAAGGAGGGGGAAAAAGAAAAAGGGATTCCTCAGCCACAAAATCAGGAAGGCACCGAACATCTGAGGTAGCTTCTGTATCTCAGTCCAGATTTTGGGGGGGTATGGGGGTGTTTAGCATGCATACTATCTGCAAAACATCTCTAAAAACTGAGGGGGAGGAAGAGGAAGATTTTTCAAAATTGTCACTAAGCAAGGCAGGGGAAATAGAAATAGTTCAGAAGCCGTTATTACAAATTTAAGATGCAAACAATGCCTTTGCTTTTGGCTTTTATTACAGCGCTGTGTTATTTTTGTGTGTGTGATCACAGAAGCATTTGTAAATACTTCTGTAATACCCAAATTTACCAGCCTTTCGTGCCTTGGAGTGTGAAGAAGTAAAAAACAGAGCCTGGGTTGGCAGGACTCACTAACTTCTCTTTCCACCAAGGGCTTAGAGGGATAGTGAGAGGGAATCCTGAATCACAGACATTGTCAGGCTCCCTGCTGGACGCAGGCGTGCTAAAGGTTTGTTACTGAATCTGGTCATCTAACTAGTAAATGGTGCAGCCAGGATTTCTCCTCAGCTGCTCTTCACCACTGTGCCAACGGTTCTCAATCTTGAGAGTGCATCAGAATCACCTGAAGGTCATGTTAAAACACAGAGTGCTGGACCTCACCCCCAGAATTTCACTTAACCATACTGGTGCTTCTCTGAGGTGTAGTCCCTGGACTAGTATCATCAACATCATCTTTGAACTTGTTACAAATGCAAATTATTAGGCCTCACTCCAGAACTTGTGAATCAGAAAGTCTGGCGTGGGGTCCTGCCATCTGTGTTCAGACAGGCCTTACTAGTGATTCTAAAACATTCTCCAGTTTTAGAACCTCTACACTCTACTATCTTGTCTTCCACATAACCCTCTTTTTTTTTTTTTTCTAATTATCCCCAACAGAAATAACTCTACTGAAGCAAAAGTTCTTCCCAATGAATTAAATGATGTATTGAAGCATTTTTATTCATGTTTTGCTCTCAGTGGGAGAGGAGGCTAGAAAAAAAATTAATGGAGGATTCTTTTTTGATTACTTTCAATTTGTACTGAAATTTAACCAGATAATACTGGGTTGGGGGTGGAACTAATCTCACTTGGGAACTTCTCTGTGCCAGGGCTTAACATGCATTTTCTAAACTGATCTTCACTGCACTACCATGAGGTTTCATGGCCTTAATTGTACAGAAGAGAAAAACTGAGGTTTAGGTGAAGTAATTGACTTAAGGCCACATTCTTATTAAGGGGCAGAAATCAGGGTTGTTCAAACAAAGATCCCTCTAATTCCAAAACTCATGATCGCTCCACCTCATAGCAGGAGCTTGGAGAACCAAATTCCACTGTGGGCTTCACCACCACAACTATGCAACATTCAGTAAGCAGTTTAATCTCTATGTCAATTTCTCCATCTATAAATAATGTTATCATAAATCTGCCCCTCCCACACTGGAACGTTAGAACAAATGAAGAAATAAAAGTGTAGGTACTCTGAGTTTTTTAAGAAAAACAGTAAAAAGGTAAGTTATTATAATATTAATATGTTTAGCCAAGTGTTACTATGTGAGCCTGAGCATTGAATCTTTCCTGGTTATCTCCTGATTCATACATAAGAGGTTCAAAAACTATAGCTGATGCCAAAGAAAAAGCCTTTTGACTTAATTTGTCAGTATCTACTGGAGGTTAAAGAGGATGACAGAGGATTATATGTGTTTCTCTTAAAAATTACAAGAAATCTCTCAACAGGTTCATAGGCTCCAGGTTGTTGCCAAATTGTTGGCCCATCCACATCCTAGAGATCTTTTCTCCAAACCCTTTCTTCTCCCCATAACAAGCAACCCCTCCACCCTCCTGCCTCCACCCACTAGGCAAAGACTTAAAATTCCTCCCACTTTATTATGTAGAAGGATTTAGCTCTCAATCCTCCTCTCAGACCAGACTCCAGGCCTATCTTTGTTGACAGAGTCGCCAAGTTGCACAATTCCAGGGGGTACCATTCACAAAGAATACAACCTGAATGGTGCTCGAGGGGGTGCCAATTGCACAGGCGACAATAGGAATGGTCCCCCTGGAACTGTGCAAGGCTGTAGCCCTGTCTATGCATAGCTCCCGCCCCAAAAATCCATTAAGGTGTTTTGTTAAACAAAAGAATCATCTACTTGGGTGTCCACCAGTTTGCCAACCTTTCAAATAATGGGGTTCTTTGTGTTTTTTGTTTAACATAGGACTGATCAAATACTTAAATCACCAGGCTTAAGTCCTGGGTTCCACACTCTACTATGGCATTTTTCACTCTCTTCTGTGACATTATTGCCCATCTCCCCACTAGACTTGTGAGTTTCATGAAGGCTTTGTCATATTTTGTCTTCTTTACATTTTATTCATGTCTTGGCACAAGTGCTTAAAAAACACTTGCTAATTTGAATAACAGCACGGTGTACTCATAGATATATACTAGTATAGTTGGCAGAGATTTGACAAATGGCCTCAAATGTGCTGTTTGACCCACAGAGTTCTGTACCGAGAAATAAACTGAGCCAAAAAATTTTAAATGAGAAATGTCACTTAAAATAAAAATCCCAATTTCTGGCATCTCTTGAAAATTTAGACACCAGCAAACTGGGCATGCATCCCACAAGGTGTTGGCATCTTTAGCTCAGGTGCAGCTCTCCATTCAGGTCGTACAAAGAGTTGGCTCCACTCATGTGTGAAATCTTCATGTCAAGTGCTGAGTTTGGAGCCACTGGTGTGTGGGATCATACGGATGTTTTAGAGAAACAAGTATAGAATTTTGCCTTGTAGATTTTACATGTGTTCTTAATGACTTATTTCAGTGTATTCTGAGGTAATTTTAAATTGTTTTTCTGAGGTAGAAAATCGTGGGGTACCATCTTGTGCCATTTCTAAACAAGCCAAGCAAGTGCAGACATCACATTATAAATATGATTACCACCAACATTTTACAGGCATTGTAGCTAATGTTATTTGTCAACTGCCTTGGAAACAGAAATGACAAATAATAACAAATAGGTGAATAAGCTTCATGATAAACTAACTTTATGGATTGTGATTTTTTTTTTCCTGTATGGAGAAACACAAGCACAGCTAGTTCAGGTAGCAAGCAAGTAATGGAGCCAGGATTAGAACCCAGGCAGTCTGTCTCCGGAGACATGGTCTTAACCACTAAATTAATATTTATTGAGCCTCTCCCATGTGCTATGGCCATGACTGCCTCCCAACTCAAAGAGACTACCAGATTTATAGAAGAGTGCATGTATCTCTTCCAAGCCTTTTATAGGCTGCTATATTAAACCCACACAGATCCTTCTCATCTCTCTCCCCCTCCCAACCCAAGTCATACTGACATGTTTATAATCTTCAGTTTTGAAGTGTACAAACTGCCAGATGTCTAAGACTTCCTTTAATTCCAATATAATTCTTTCACAGAGTTTGTTTTTATTGCAAATTATCATGAAGAGTCTTATGCATTTGGTGAACAAAAGGCATCTTTTAAAGACAATGGAAGCACTTTGAAGCAATATAATATTGACAGAGGAAACCAATATCTGTAGTCAAATTATGCTTGTGTGGAGAAATGGGAGATAGCAAGGTTGAATTTGAGCAAAAATGTCACATTGACCTAAATGCAGTAAAAGCTCAAAAATAGAGGAATGTCGATCAACATTCCATCAACATTCAAATATGTCATCAGCATATTTTACATTTAATTTTTAATTAAAAATGGGAAACAATTTTGGAACTTATATTTTCCCTTAAGAGTTTTAAAGAATTAAACTTCTGTTGTTGTCCAAAATGAGCTGCTTAGCAAGTCTCAGGAATTTTTTTTTAAAATTTTTATTGAAATAAGAT